TCTTCAATAAATGGTGTTGGGAAAATGGGACAGCCACATGCAAAAGAATGAAAGTAGACCATTATCTTTCGCCATACTCAAAAATTAACTCAAAATGGATCAAAGACTTGAAGGTAAGACCTGAAACCATAAAACTCCTAGAAGAAAATCTAGCCAGTGCACTCTTTGACATAGGTCTTAGAAGGATCTTTTCAAATACCATGTCTACTCAGACAAGGGAAACAAAAGGAAAAATAAACAAGTGGGACTTCGCCAGACTAAAGAGCTTCTGCAAGGAAACGGAAACCAGAATCAAAACGAAAAGACAACCCACTAACTGGGAGAAAATATTTGCAAATCATATATCCGACAAGGGGTTAATCTCCATAATATATAAAGAACTCACACAATTGAACAACAAAAAAACAAACAACCCAATCAAAAAATGAGCAGAGGATGTGAACAGACATTTTTCCAAAGAAGATATGCAGATGGCCGATAGGCCCATAAAAAGATGTTCAACATCACTAATCATCAGAGAAATGCGAATCAAAACTACATTAAGATATCGTCTTACATCGTTAGAATGGCCATAATCACCAAGACAAAAAATAACAAATGTTGGAGAAGGTATGGAGAAAAGGAAACCCTCATACACTGCTGGTGGGAATGCAAACTGGTTCAGCCACTATGGAAAACAGTATGGAGATTTCTCAAAAAGTTAAAAATAGAAATACCATATGACCCATCTATCCCACTACTGGGTATTTATCCAAAGAACTTGAAACCAACAATTCAAAGAGATTTATGCACCCCTATGTTCACTGCAGCATTATTCACTATAGCCAAGAAGTGGAAGCAACCCAAGTGCCCATCCACTGAAGAATGGATGAATGGATAAAGAAGATATAGTATATATACAATAGAATACTACTCACCCATAAAAAAGACAAAATTGTCCCATTCGCAACGACATGGATGGAGCTTGAGGGTATTATGTTAAGCAGAATAAGCCGGACAGAGAAAGACAAACATCACATGATTTCACTCATATGTGGAAGATAAAATAACACACGGGCAGAGAGAATACTTTGATGGTTACCAGGGGGAAGGGGGTTGGGGGGTGGGCACAAGGGGTAAAGGGGCACATCCATATTGTGACTGACAAATAATAATGTGCAACTGAAATTTCACGTCATAAACTATTACGACCTCAATTAAAAAAATTAAAAAAAAAAAAGTAGAGTCTGGCTTTTCTCTTTGAAACTGGGTGGAACTTTGTGACTACCCCAACAAATAGAATGCAGAGGAAGTGGTACTGCTTTAACATTCTAAACTGGATTAAAAATGATGTCACAATTTCCCCCTTTTTTTTTTTTCTCCCTCTCTTTCACTCTCTGATGCTTGCTTTGGAGCCCTGGGCTGCCATATAAAAAGTCCAGTTGCCAGGCTGGGTAGGCGTTTGGTTTACACAGGTGTCCGCACTTGTCAGATTTCAGTGAAATTTGTGAATTTTATTTTACATAAAGTTTACCTCAAAATAAAGATAAACATTGAACTCTAGTTAAAGATATGCATGCTGAAGTATTTAAGGGACTGTATACCAATGTCTGTAATTTATTTTGAAACGTATCCAAAAATTAGTTAGATTAATGGATAAATAGAGTAATAGGTAGATGTGAGATAAAGCAAATATAGTAAAATGTTAATGGTAGAATCTAAGTAGTGGATATATGGGTGTCCACTGTAAAATTTTTCAACTTAGCTCTATGTTAGAAACTTTTTGTAATAAAATGTTGGAGAATATATGATCAGGATTATTTTGATATCTGTATTTATTAAAAAGGGCAGGATAGGATAGATTTCTGTTACAAGTAGTTTCTTTATGTCAGAGACATAATAAATATTTGTTTACAGCCTTTTTGAACAAACGATACATTTAAATAAAATCAACAAGAAGGAAGTAGCTCTTTAGATGTAAGGAGAAATAAAAGATGTTTAGGGGCCAGCCAGGTGGCATAGTGGTTAAGTTCACACACTCTGCTGTGGCGGCCCGGGGTTCGCAGGTTCGGATCCCAGGTGTGGACATACGCACCACTTATTAAGCCATGCAGTGGCAGCGTCTCACATACAAAGTAGAAGAAGATGGGCACAGATGTTAGCCCGGGGCCAATCTTCCTCAGCAAAAAGAGGATTGGCAACAGATGTTAGCTCAGGCTAAAAAATAATAATAATAAATAAATAAAAGATATTTAGCAGTAGAACTGATCTAATTGGGGGGTGAGTGAGACCTAGAAGGATTCCTGAGGAAGTTACATTTATTTATTTATTTTTTAATTTTTTATTATTTATTTTTTTCCCCCAAAGCCTCAGTAGATAGTTGTGGGTCACAGCTGCACATCCTTCTAGTTGCTGTATGTGGGACGCGGCCTCAGCATGGCCGGAGAAGTGGTGCGTCGCTGGGCGCCTGGGATCCGAACCCCGGGCCGCCAGCAGCAGAGCACGGGCACTTAACCGCTAAGCCACGGGGCCGGCCCGGAAGTTACATTTAAACTGAGACAGATGGGAATTAACTAGTTGACAAAGGGCCATCCTAATTACCATTGCTGGGTTGCAAGCCACCCCCAAAACTTAGTGGCATAAAACAATCATTTTATTATGCTCATGGATTCTGTGAGTCAGAAATTTGGACAGGGCACAACTGGGGACAGTTTGTCTCTGCTCCATGATGTCTAGGGGCTCAGCTGGGAAGACTCAAGGGTACCTCCACAGCTGGGGGTGGAATCCCGGCAGCTTCCTCACTCACAGATCTGGCCCCAGGGCTCTGATGCCTCCAAGGCTGGTTTCAGCCGGAACTATGGACTGTGGTGCTACACACAGTCTCTCCATGTGGCTTGGGCTTCTTCAAAGCATGGCTACTTCAGTGTAGTCGCATTTCTCACATGATGCCTCAAGGCTCTAGAGCTAGTTGTTCCGGTGGACAAGGAAGAAGCTGCATTGCCTTTTACTACCTAGACTTGGAAATCACACAGTGTCAATCCCACTCTTCTCTATTGCTGGAAATTGTCGCAATCCTGCCCAGATTCAAGGGGGAGGGGACATAGACTCCACCTTTTCATGAGAAGAGTGTCAAAGAATTTGCAGTCGTGTTTTAAAATCACCACAGAGGTTGATGGGAACAGGGAGGAGTACTCCAGGCAGAGGGAACATCCTGTGGGAAATCCCTATGATGGAAGTGAAGGCAGCAAGTTCAATAAATTGAAATAAGTGACTGTAAATTGACCCCTCCCCCAGCACTCCCTTTCCCCAATCTCTACGTAATTTTTATCCAGAGAACTTATCACCTTCTAATATTATATTCTAATATTATATATATATATATATATGTGTTTTGTTTTTTGGGTTTTTTTTGCTGAGTAAGAGTCTCCCTGAGCTAACATCTGTTGTCAATCTTCCTCTGTTTTGTATGTGAGCTGCTGCCACAGCATGACCACTGATGAGTGGTGTAGGTCTGTGCCTGGGAACCTAACCCAGGCCACCTAAGCAGAGCGTGCCAAACTTAACCACTAGGCCATCAGGGCTGGCCCCCAATATTCTATATTTTAAGATATCTATTTTGTTCATTTTCTGTCTTTTTCCACAAGCTTTTGCACTCCATGTGGGCAGGGTATATTTCTCCCTGTTTTGGTTACTAATGTATTCACAAATTCAGTGATCAGAGTTTTTGAATGAATGAATGGATGGATCAAGGAGGTACCCTCTGAGGTGAGGGCCTTGTTAAGGCCATGACTAATGGGAGACTCCTCTTGGAAAGGGCATTGCTTCAGAGTGTTCTCTGAGCCTGGCTCAAAAACGGCGAGAACAGCTGGGATTGGCTTTATGAGAGGCGTGGTCACGTTCTGGCGTTGCGGGATGACCTATTCCTAGGAAAAATGAGTCAAGACTGGAGGCCGGCCTGTAATAAGCAGTAGAGGAGGAGGCAAGAAAAATATACAGAGGGCAGGGCAAGGCCAAGTCGCAGAGGGCGTAGGGTCATGTCCCAGGCAGGGCACCTGAGCCAGTGAAAACGGTCCAGGGACGAATACCCTCAGTATTCTGTGGGCGGGGTCAGGGTCAAGACTGCCAAGATGGGGCTAGAGGATTGAGATATTGAAAAGCTGCTTGGGGATGGAGAAAAGCCCTGAGGCCATGGGAGAATCCAATTAAGAGTGTCAGAGGGGCGGTCCCTGAGAGTGGACTAAGCGGAGGGCCCATCGCCTAGCGTAAGAAGTGTTAGAGGCAAAGCATAAAGAACCTGGGGGTGTGTCTTGGGAGGGGAATGACAGCCAATCAGAAGCAGCCATGGGCGTGGCGCTGTCAAACTTCGCGGGGCGGGACCGAAGACAGACCCAGGCAGGGATGGGACCCATGCCGAAGCCAATGAGAAGCCGCCCGGTGGGCGGGGCGTCGTCCTAAGGCCGAGGCGGGAGCCAATGAGAAGCGGCGCCGCGTCCTCGCTGCCCCCGCCCCGGTGGGGCGCGCGCCGAAGCCACGGGCAGCCGTTAGGGGCGGGGCCTGCGGCCGCCC